TCTCCCCCTCCCCCTCCCCCTCCCCTGTAGTCAAAATTGATTGACCAATTAAAATCTTTAACAAATTATTTCATTTCCCATTTGATAATGTTTAAAGGTTTTGTCGTGTGAATTATGGACCGCCCTTTTAAATTGAAATATAACAGTGATTTGTTAGACGTGCAAGATGAAGGCAGGCACGTAGCTTTGCAATAGTTTTAGCGGTTATGCCTTGCATGCGACTTTCCCGCTGCAATAAACACAAAAATTTCTTCTCCATAGCCTCTATCCAAATAATACACACCGAGAGAGAAAATTTCTCTGCCTTCTTCCTCCAATTTCCTTCTTCACACAGGTTCATTTTCTGACTCTTATGGAATGTTTTGATTCATGGGATTCTTGGTTTTCGGCATTTCACTTGACAATCTCTAATAATGTATTCATTTTTTTATATTTATTGGCAATCCGTGGGTTTTGGTTTTTTGCATATTTACGAGTAATTATAATGTTTCTGCCTTTTTGTTGTGATCTTGCCTTTTTTTTTTCCCATTAATCCCATTTTTAATTTGTTTAAATTGAATAGCGATTTCATCGTGTTCATAAAGAATTCAGTTCCTGGATTTGATAATCTTATTATTACACAATTCTCGCAAGCCCGATTTGGTTGTCTTCCACTTTCTTGAATTCGAATCTTTTGGTTCAATATGGAAATTGGGCTAAAATAATGTTGGATAATGGTTAATCTCACATTCTTATTTCTAATTCAGGAAATTGGGCCCTAAAACAATTGTTATTTGTCAGCATTTATCGTATGTGATTTGTCGAAACTGTTCCTTTGGGATAGCCGTACCTTCAAAATTGAACAATGTTGTGCTGTGGAGGTGCAGAAGAGGAAAATTACAGTGGTCCTCCAGCAAACCAGAGTACGGCCCCTCCTAGAGCTGGCAATCCTTATGGTGGTGGCGCTGGTGGCAGTACGTCTTTCTTGTCATTTCCACATGGTGTCAATTAATCAATGTTTCAAGATCATTTTCGAGACTTGTCTCATGGCATGGTTATGTAAAAATGTCTTATTTGTGTTGCACTATTGTTGTCTGTTGATGTCAAAGCAATTACGGTGTTCATATTTTGCGTGCTTATTGTATTCATATCCAACTACTGATTGATTCATTTGACACTATTTTCTGAGATTTTCTGCCATTTTCTCAATTTTAATTTACTTCTTCTTGCATGTATGTCTATGACGTACCCATTGAACTGAAATGGCATGACAGTTTCATACTAGTTAATTTTTGGACCTCATATTTTTCTGGCAAAGATATAAACATTTGAAGAATGCCCTTTGGTTCTAAGTAAGACAAAAATGAGCTTAAAGAAACAGTTTCCTGACTATTATTATAAAAGTTAGAAAATCTTGATAGTTCTTATTTTTGCCTACTGTCATTCCTTCCTTTCTTCTTGTTGTCCAGTCTTGCAATACTTTCCAACTTCATCATTAGCTTTAGCAATGCGAAAAATATGATATTTGCACCTCTGTTTTTTATGTGCTTAAATTGGATACTAGTACCTTTTTTCTTAGTGGAAATTCCTCTTGCATCTTTAAAACTAAGATAGGTTGCCACCCTTGTTAGAGTTTTTGCCCATCGCATTACTGTATTGCTTCTTTTGAAATTTAGGCAGTGAAAGACAAGAGCCAAGGACTTCAGGTGCTGTAAGAACTGGTGCTCCACAAAAGGTTCTGCCTATTGAGACACCAGCTTTGTCATTGGATGAGCTAAATAGGTTGACGGGTAATTTTGGTACAAAAGCTTTGATTGGAGAGGGCTCTTACGGCAGAGTTTTTTTGGCGAAGTTGAGGAATGGCCAGCAAGCAGCGATTAAAAAGCTAGATACCAGTTCTTCTCCAGAACCAGACTCTGATTTTGCTGCCCAGGTGAAGCATATCAAATTTCTGGTTTTCGTTTCTCTTGGAATACAATATATTAGGAGAACATGCGTTTACTTAAATAATGCCATTGTTGTTCCATACAGTTATCTATAGTTTCAAGACTTGTGAATGAGCACTTTGTGGGGTTGATTGGATATTGCCTGGAGGCAAACAACAGAATCTTGGCATACGAGTATGCTACAATGGGTTCATTACATGATGTCTTACATGGTACATCAAACTTAGAATACAGAAATTCTACATGATGAGAAAGCAGAAGCTGATTATCAGCATTTTGTGTTGCAGGTAGGAAAGGGGTGCAAGGGGCCGAACCTGGTCCAGTTCTCACCTGGAGTCAAAGAGTCAAGGTTGCTTATGGTGCAGCAAAAGGCCTTGAATTTCTACACGAAAAATGTCAGCCTTCAATTGTTCACCGTGATGTCAGATCTAGCAATGTGTTACTGTTTGACGATTTTGTATCCAAAATTGCTGATTTCAGCTTGACAAGCCAGTCTTCTGACACTGCAGCTCGGCTGCATTCCACTAGGGTCCTGGGGACATTCGGCTACCATGCTCCGGAGTAAGCCTTCATTCTTTTCTGTATATTCGGAACCAGAACTGTTGTTTGCTTGCATTCTTAATATGGTAATGGAGTATAGTTTGTTCCACAACCCGACAGATGCTAAATATTTTTTATTCTTCAACTCTCCCTAGTTAAAAAGGTTACTTTGAACTAACTTTAGTGTCATGCTTCAGGTATGCCATGACAGGACAGATAACGCAGAAAAGTGATGTTTACAGTTTTGGAGTTGTTCTTTTAGAACTTCTTACTGGAAGAAAGCCAGTAGACCACACCATGCCCAAAGGACAACAGAGTCTTGTAACCTGGGTGAGTTTTTCTTTTTTGTCTTTGGCTACACAAAATAAGTGCCCCCAAGCAAGCTAATAATCATTTGATTCATATTCTACTTTCTCCAGGCTACTCCAAGATTGAGTGAAGATAAAGTGAAGCAGTGTGTGGATCCCAAACTAAACGATGAATATCCACCAAAGGCTATTGCGAAGGTCTTTTCTTTCTCCACTCCTCAAAATGTCAAAATCCACTCTCTGAATGAAAATAATGTTATGGAATAAACCTAATTAGTGGACCAGAAGAAAAGAAAGAATCAGGAAACAGAAGCACACATGCAAACACACAGATTTTACTTAAGTCAAGAGGAATGAGCTCTACAACGAAAATATCACACCTTTGATTCTGTGTATCTCTCTCTCTCTCTCTCTCTCTCTCTATATATATATATATATATATTAAAAAGGCTTTCCTTAATATGCATTACGTAATAGAGAGATTATGATAATCGAATATGGTGAAAATATAACTAGACTTCACATAGTTCCAAAAAATGAATACTCATTCGTATTCCTTATCCCTTTTTATCTGTTTTCCAGATGGCAGCTGTTGCAGCACTTTGCGTTCAATATGAAGCAGATTTTCGACCCAACATGACCATCGTCGTTAAAGCTTTGCAGCCACTTCTGAACTCTAAGCCAGCAGGGCCCTGAGTCTCGTGGACAAGGCGATATCCACTGAGCATGATACTATTGTGTCGTATCCACTGAATATCTGAATCACTGCAGTTATTGTTCCAGTAACAGCATTGGGTGCTTTTTGTGCTCCTTGGAGAAGATCTGCTGGTATATTTATGAGCCCCATGTTTGTTTTGAGAACGTTTGGGACAACTAATTCCTTTAAACTCTAGGATTTATACATCATGGTGGATTTAATATGAGCTAGTTTTATTTTGCAATTTAAAAATGTTGGCCCTACTTTCAATTAAATTATACGCTGATTCTATTTTCTCGTAACAGGAATAAAAGTTGCCAGTACTGTTAAAGGCGCATACAACTTTATGCCAGATTCTCCTCGTAATGGAAGTGGATAAAATTATCGCCTCTTATTACTGAACTAGAAAGAGTAAACATGTCTATTTGTTGTGTGTGTGTGTGTGTGTGTGTGTATGTGGGGGGGGGAATAAGAATTGCTAATCTACAATTCAATTTCACAAAATAAACTTCTAATTACAATTGAAGGCCATTTCAACAACCTTAACGAAGTAGAGAAAAATTAGCTTAGATGAAGTATTTTTCTTGAACTAACCTTCTATTACAAGCAAACAATATTTTATTGTCAATGTTAAAAATGGGTTGTGGGTAGTCTATGCGGGCTAGCCCTACCTACAAGCAGTGATGCGTAGACATTTTTGTTGACATATGTTTTGATTCTAATAAACAACTTACGTTTATCTCTAATTTAAATTTACATGTTAGCAAATTGAGTCAAAGTCATTGAACGAAATGTTGTCAATCAAGGAAGCTCAAATAAAAATTGATAGAGCACTCATGAAGACAAGCTTCACGCGCCATATTATCAAAGATTTTGTAATTAGATTTTCTCGAGTCGATTGTAAAGTTAAATCACTTTAAATCCTAGCAATGACACTTTCGAGCTCGAGTAATGATTTTCTTGCACTCAACACATTTTTATGAGACAAAACGTTTGCACAAAATTACCCTTCAAAAGAAAGTTTTTCCAACATATTTTTCGAAAACAATCAAAACAAACTTACATTATAAAATCAGCGAAAAACATTATTTGCAAACAAGACAAAAAGGAAAATGACCTAGAAAAACTCTGGTCATCATCCGGACGTCCGGTTAGCCAGCAACATTCACTTTTTTGACCGTTCTGACAAAGTGTCTCTAACGGTAAGTTGGGTCATCCGGACGTCCGGTTGGATAGAGACTTTGGCGTCTTTCAATTGCTATAAATACCAACTCATTTATCATTTGTAAAGACACTTCTTGAGCATCAAATTTGATAAACCTTGAGCCTACATGATCTTACAAATCATTTAGCTCTTGAAAAATCTTTGATCAAAACTCATTCTTGAAAAACACTCTTACATCAAAGATTCACACATCAAATACTTGAGCTCCATTCATTGCTATTTGTTAAAGTATTTACCTACCTCTCTTCTTATACCTAATCTCATACTCATCATTTATTAAGACGAAAAGTCAATCACTTGTAAACTCATTTCATATTGAGGGTCGTGTTGAGGTCTCGGAAAGCTCAATATTGTAAAAGGATTGTTGTCCCTTGGTTGTAAGTCACCTAAAGCGTTGTAAAAGGTTGGATTGACCATAAGTCAATCAACATTTGAAAAAGGCTTTGCTCGTGTCAGAGAGCTTGGTAACGGGGGATGTAGATCATTGCATTGGATCGAACCTCCATAACATATCGTTTGCATTCTCTACCCCTTTTACTTAACGCATTTACTTCGCACTAACTTGTATTGTTCTATTTACGCATTTACTTGTGTTTAGAATATTTGCGCATTTACTATATTAGAATTTNATTAACGAAAAAGTTTTAATAACTAATTCACCCCCCCTCTTGGTTAGCCAATCTTAGGCTTTCAATTGGTATTAGAGCGAGGTACTCTCCTTCTTTAAAAGGTTTCACAATCTTGAGTAAATAGCTAACACCATGTTTCAAAATCTTGAGGGGCATTCCGCTAACCGACCACCCTTCTTTGATGTCACACACTATAATTATTGGAAGGCTAGGTTGGCAATTTATGTTCAATCAATTGATTATAACATTTGGGAAATAATTGAATATGGTCCCTATGTGCCTACAAAGACTATTAAGATTGATGGAAGACCCGACCAAAATATTCCCAAACCTAGAGAAGAATACGATGAAGAAGATAGAAGAAAATTATCATTAAATGCTAAGGCCAAAAACTTGCTTTATTGTGCACTAGATAAAAATGAATTTAATAGGATTAGCACATGTGATTCGGCCCATGATATTTGGCATGCTCTTGAAGTTACTCATGTTGGAACAAGTAAGGTTAAAGAAATTAAAATAAATATGTTAGTTAAAGAATTCGAAAATTTCTTTATGAAACAAAATGAATCTGTTGTTAATTTGATTACTCGTTTTACCGATATTATGAATGGTTTAAAGGGCTTTGATCGAAAATATAATAACTGTGAACTTGTAAGCAAATTGCTTAGGTCACTCTCAGAGGAATGGAGTCCTATACGAATGTTGATAGAAAACACCAAGGATGTGAACACATATCCCTTGGAAGAACTCTATGGAACCTTGATGACCTTTGAACTCAACAATGCCGAAATCAAGGAGAAGACAAGAAAAAGCAAAGAGGAATCAAAAGAGGCTCCAAGACGTCATATTGCTTTAAAATTGGCTAATGACGAAGGAACAATGAATAATGACATGAGTGATGAAGAGCTTGACGATTTGGTCCTTCTTGTCAAAAAATGGAGAGGTTTCCAAAACAACCGAAGATTCAAAAAGAAGGAAGAGAAGAATGAAGAAAAGGGCAAGCAAATTGTTTGTTGTGATTGTAACAAACCGGGTCACAAAAGAACCAAATGCCCAAACAAAAAGAAATTTAGCTACTTGGGACGATAGTGATGATGAAGACCAAAAAGAAAGTGATAGTCAAGATGAAATCGTCAACATGTCCTTCATGGCACTTGAAGATGAGGTAAATTTAAAAGAAAAATATTCTTATGATAAATTATTTAGCTCTTATGATGAATTGTTTGAAGATTTTGAAAAACTAGCATTGAGTCACTCTATTCTCAAAAAGAAAAACTCTTTATTGAAAAATGAACTAGAGAAAACTTTAGAAAAACAAAAAGAAAATGCTGATTACGATTTATTGTTTAAGGAAAACACTTCTTTAAAAGAAAAAGTTAATGATTTGACGAAAATCGTTTATAAATTTACCGAAGGCAAGAAGAATTTTAATCTAATGTTTGGAAATAAAAAAAAAATGTGTTTGACAAAGGGGGAATCGGATTCAAACATTCCTTGAAACAAAAATCTCTCAAAAATATGTTTATTAAAGCTTCAAAAATCGCTTGCACCTTTTGTAATAAGAGTGGACATGTTGCTTTTAATTGATTAGCTAAAAAGAAGTTATTTTTTGAAAATAAAAATAAGTGGATTAGAGTCCCCTAAAACTAACTACCAAGGACCCAAGTTTGCATGGGTACCAAAAGTCAAAAATTAAATCATACTTCTAGGTACCAAAGAAAACAAAGAGCAAATGGTTCTTAGATAATGGATGTTCAAAACATATGACCGAAGATCGATCACTATTATCAAGCTTCAAAAAGAAGGATGGAGGCCATGTAACATTCGGAGATAACACAAAAGGAAAAATAATTGGCATTGGCAACATTGGTAATCACTTATCTCCTTCTATTGAAAATGTGCTATTAGTAGATAAGCTCGAATATAATTTGCTAAGTCTTAGTCAATTATGTGATAAATGCTATACTATTAAATTCGATTCCTCCAAATGCCGAATTGAGGATACTATATCAAAAGAGGTGATTTTTGTAGGAAGTCGAAATAAAGATGTTTATATCATAAATATTGAATATGAAAATAATGAACATTGTTTACTTGGACTAAATGATGAAACTTGGCTATGGCATAGAAGATTAGGCCATGTTAACATGGATCTTATTTCAAAAATTTCCAAAAACTGTTTTGTGAAAGGATTATCAAATTTGAAAAGGACAAAATTTGTGATGCATGTCAAATCGAAAAACAAGTAAAAAATTCTTTCAAACCGAAAGATTTTTCCTCAACTACAAAACCTTTACAACTTCTCCACATGGATCTTTTTGGACCTTCAAGAACGGCTAGCTTAGGCGGTAAACATCACGCCTTCGTTATTGTTGATGATTTTTCAAGATTTACATGGGTCATTTTCTTAAAAGTAAAAAATGAAGTTTTGAAAACTTTTAAACATTTTTGGAAAAAAGTTGAAAATGAAAAGAGTTACACTATTATGACTATTAGAAGCGACCATCGTGGAGAGTTTTACAATCTCGATTTTGATAATTTTTGTGATGAAAATGGATATGAACATAATTTTTCGGCTCTTAGAACTCCTCAACAAAATGGTGTAGTAGAGAGGAAGAATCGTACATTACAAGAAATAGCTTGGACTATGCAAAATGAAAATAATTTACCTAAATATTTTTGGGCCGAAACCATTAATACCGCATGCTACATCATAAATAGAGTATTGGTAAGTCACAAGAAAACTAAAACTCCTTACGAACTTTAGAAAAATAGAATTCCCAACATTAGTTATTTCAAAGTTTTCGGGTGCAAATATTTTGCCTTAAACACAAAAGACAATTTGGGAAAATTTGACTCAAAATCCGACATTGGAATTTTTCTTGGTTATTCATCGACTAGCAAAGCGTATAGAGTTTTTAACAAAAGAACTCTAGTCGTTGAAGAATCTATATATGTTACTTTTCATGAAACTAATCTACTTGATCAAGAGAAAGGTATTGATGACGATGTAGGTTTGGAAACTCCTTTTGAACAAATGAATATCCAAGACAAAGGAGTACCAAATGAAGAATAATCAAAAGAGCCCAACGATTAAGAAAGAGAAGAAACGCCAACCAAAGCTCAAGGTGACTCTACATTGCCA